TGCAGTTTACTGACTGTCCTGTTCACAGGTCAAGGTGTTGTGGAGTACTAGAAATGGTAAAGGAAGCTGAATATAATTATTTCAAAATTCCTGAATGTGGTGCCTGGTTTACCTCAGGTAAGACCATTCCCCACCCCTGTTTTTGTGTCCCTACAGCAAGGAGTGGGTGAGGGAAGAGAGAAAGAAGAGTTAGGGGGTGGCTGGTGGCTGGTCTTGCTGGATGCCCATGGCTGGTGGCTGGGCTAGCACTTACCTGGCCTTGGCCCTCTGCAGCACGTGTAGTTTGCACTGTCAGCACTAACAAGGCAAACAAAACTTGTCTTAAACATGGGATCTGAAAGATAAATCCCATCCATGACCATCACCATCACCTGTAGCTCTTTACCACTCAGCTAACTGTCTTCTTAAATATGTATTTAGGGAAAGGATAGGTGCCTTTCTCTCCAAAACAGGCAATTCTGCACAAATGGTGTGACCAATAGAGTGGCCAGGGCACGTTCAGGATAAGTAAGGTGATAGTTTCAGCATTAGACAGTCCTGAGAAGTATTTAAACTTCTGTTTATGTGATAATGACTGAGCCATAGCCAAATCACTTTCTTCTCCTATAGAGCAGAAAGTGATTCAAATGACAAAAGGAAGTAAAAAAGAAGAAAATGCACTGGTGTGATATTACAATGCTCAGACTATGCCTGGAAGTGCTGTGAGAGATTTAGATGCCCTTAATAACAAGAAAATCTGGAAACTATTTCAGATTAAAGCCAGCCCTTACGGCTATTTACAGAACTCCTTTTGCTGTTTTATTTGAACTAGTGTGTGCAACTTACCAGAAAAAAAAAAACAAAAAACCCAACAAAAACCTAAGCCCTACAGATCTTTTTATAGTTTTGCAGTTAAGAGACTCCTTTGGTAACAGTTCATGTGAATGTCTGCTCTCTATCTCCTTCTGTGCTGTTAATTATGAAATTTCCTTCCTCTTTCAGAAAATAGGTTTGATACAATTGTATTTGGAAGGTTTGTGAGGAGGGGAAGAACTCCAGTGTCTTCTTTGCCAGTGGTTGCAGAGAAACTTCAATCACTATCCCCCATAGAGACTGAGAGATAGGTCAGGCCATGAATCTGTATTGGGCATTAGGACATTTTTTAGGTATGGAATTTTTCACACATCCTTGTTACCCATATTTAAAATCATGTTCTGGACCTCACCAATCCACAAGCAGTGGGACAAGAAAATGTTTAAAATAAATTTTTTCTGCCAACTTTCCTGCTTCAGCATGTTTCTCTAAGGTATTAAAGTCAAATTTGGCATTTAAATTTGATAGGGAATTTTACAAAAAGAAAAGGATTTAAAATCTTTTAAAAAAACCCCACAGAATCATAGAATACCTTCAGCTGGAAAGGACTCAAAAGGATCATCAAGGACAATTCCCTGTTTGCCACAGAACACCCCAAAACTAAACTATATGACTAAAAGCATTGTACAGATGCTCCTTGAAGTGTTTGCCCATGGAAAAGTGGTATACACTTTTTTTTATAAGAAAGGAAACAGTGATAAAGCAAAGGAAGAAAACAATGACTAATCATAGAGATAATATAAAGAACAGGCATTTTCCCAGTTATTTTTAAAACTATATACTGGTATCCAGGAAGTATGACTGGGCTAATTATTTTTTTCTTCCACTATCCATTATTTAAACAATAGCCCAAAAATGCATGTTGATTATTTCCAATGATTAATTAACTCAATTAACAAGAAGCAGTTAAAGGGTAGTACAAAAGGTTGATGAGTGTATCTCATCTCAGCACTCATGAAGCAGATGTTTGTCTGCTGTGCCTCAGCCAAAACATTGGAGTTCAGATTCTTGTCTCACCAGGCAGCCTGTGCAACATCTGCAGCTCTCGTGCACCCTTGGGTGCAGTGTCCTAGAGGGGGGACTCTTCCATCCCTTAAATGTGGCCACTGCTGTCAGTGGTATTTTTCGCGATCTTTTAACTGAATTATGTGATCCACAACCTTCCAAACATTAAGAATATTATATTTATTGTTAAATATTATTTAAGCATGTGTAACATTCTTAGATGTTATGCAATTTACATACTTTCCAGGAGATTACATTAATGATTTAGCATTGCCACATGAAGTTTTTCAAAACTTCAGTCTGAATATAAGCCCTTAAGGCAAAACTGATTTAATTTCAGTAAACATAATTTCCTTCCTGTTCTTTCCCAAGTTAACATAATTGACACTTGTACCACAAAAAGCTCCTGGGTTGAGTTAAGAACAGGGAGAGATCACTCACTCACCAATTACTGTCACAGGCAAAATAGATTCTGCTTGGGGAAATTTGTTTAGTCTATTACCAATCAAATCAGAGTAGGATGGTGAAAAATACAAATATTTCTGCTTAATTACTACATGCTTTGTAGTTGCTTTCACTAAGTAGGTACAGAAGACAAGCAAATGAATGCAATAGCCACAGTACTTTCAGTCTCATGGCTTATTTCCCTAAATTATTTCTTATTTTGATCTGCATGGATTTCATTTGTCTGACCTTGTCAGAACAACGTTAAACTGTTACCTTTAACAGCCTGAATGAAAAAGATTATGACAGAGAGTACCTATCCTCCTTGCTAGAACCTGACCAGAAAAACAGCAGGCTCATCAAAATATTCAACGAAATTTGTCAAAGCAAGCCCATTTAAAGCCATAACCCATAACAAGGACCTTGCAATGAGCCCCCATGGCTGGGGCTGCCCTGCAGGTGCAGGAGTGCAGGAGTGCCCTGCCTGCTCTCAGCCACTGCAGCTGCATGGGGCACACTCACCCCTCCCATAGCTGCTTTTTCATCACAGCAGATCTTTGCCTGGAAGGGATCCCAAAGCACTGTGTGGGTCTTTCTATGTCACCGCAGCAGTCTGTGAACACCTAACATCAGTAACTGGAAAATTATCACCTGCAAAGCCACCGTGGCATGTTGCCTCCCCTCTCCTATCCATTCAGACCCACCAGACAGGTGGGTATAAGGTGCTGTTGAGATTGTGTTTTTCCCCTTAATCTTAGAGATAGTAGAAGTTTAATGAAACCTGGTGGGATTCCAGGGAATTCTTAACAGGTCAAGTTTTATGCTATCAGTACTTTCTATAAGAGATTAGTGTTTGGGATGTTGGCGTAACAATTGAATTTGAAGTAACAGAGAATTGTTTAAATTCATGCTGGGGAGTATAACTTTGTTGTTAGCTCAATTTCTGTCTTTCACATTGGGACTGGCCAACCTGTGCTGCATGGCTGGATGCAGCTTGTGCTGAGATTCACCTGTGAGCAGTGAAATCTGTGACATTGCCAGATTTCACAAGTGCAAAGGAACAAGAAGGCAGTGCCACCTCCTGCCTGGTGCTCCCTAAGGTGTGTGCCAGGTGCAAGGGACATCGTGAGGTTGGCTGTTCTAACTTTGCTCTTCCTTGGAGTCTGTCCTCAAGGATTTCAGTGGCCTGGAGCAGGCACCCCTTTGTGGGATCAGCACAGCACCCCGTAATTCACAGTACTGGCTGTAGGAGAGGTGCAAGCACCCAGGTGTGTTTGGGGTATCAAGGATGTGGTGCAATTGTTCAGATTTTTAGCCCCAAGACCCATCTGAAATCAGGCTGAAGAGAAACCAATGTTTGCTTTACTACCAGGCTGCAGCTGGCTCTGGCATGGCTTGAGGTGCAGAGGAGGCAGAAGAAAATAGATCCTTTCCTTTTTGTTTCTTTGTTATTACAAAATGTCCAACTGGGAAGAAAATGGAATTCCTCCTGCCCTCATGTACAGGATAAAACAAGGCTGTTAAAATCCCTGACAATATAAACAACAATATATCTTTTATATAAATAGGTCACATGCTGTATGGAAATATTGTCAGCATAAATTAACTTTGCCCTAACATCTGTACTTAGCATTTCCTTGTAATTTCTTATTTCACTGTTCAATTTCTTTCTTTTATTTTAATCCCATATATTTTGTCAGAGAATTAACTCCCTTTCTTACATTGTCTTTCTGCTGAGCAGACGAGCAAGATCAAACCCTGTATTTGGGAAATGCAATCATCTTGACTAAAAACAGGAGAGGATGACAAATTTTCTTGGTATCATACTTTTGCTACAGGTGCCAATCAATATGTTACTGCACTTCAAATGATATTTTTATATCACAGCTGTTTTTTCCCATTTAGAAGTTTTTCTAAACAAAATACAATATTTCCATCTAAAAAAACTGCTGTGATAAAATCAGGCCTTTACGCAGTTATAGGGACAGTCTACAGTGGTCAGGAATGGAATATTGAGAATGCTGTTTTTCTCAAATTTCCATCTTTAAGTTTGGACACCAAAGTGCTGAGTGCTGGCCTGGGTATGTTCTTGATCTGGGTAAAAAGCAGTATGTGGCATTTCCTGAAATTGTGACTGACTTTTGGTAAGGCTCTCAAACAAGAATTAGCTATTTCATAAGAAAAAGCAGCATTGATTTTCCAATAAATCATTTTTCACATAGTTTTCTAGTTGCATTTCTGTAGAAATGTAGGATAATGGCAAACTCCTGTAGAAGGGCAGAAATTTTTCTAATGTCCTACAGACACAGGATATTTAAATTTCACTTAAATCTTCTAAAATTCACTACTGTCTTGTCTCACAGATGAAAATATGAGACTTCTGTGTTTCCCTGCTAGAATGTTTTTCATTCTGCATAGGTAAGATGTAAGATTTAAAAACTAAGGCTGAATTTCTGTCTTTAGCTTCATTGTTGATTTGATCCTACGAGCTCCACACGTCTCCTCAGCAGAGAGTGGGAATGGAGTGAGATATAAACTTGTGACCACCTGCTTTCCCAAGGAAGCATGGTTTGCCCTCAGTGAGAAGTCATTCTTTTTTGAGGGCAAAATTAGTGCCACGTGGTCTTGTTTTTCAGAAATGTGGCATGTGACAGAATGTTTCCTTATTTAGCACTCAGAGCTTTTACCCAACCATCCAGCCTGCAAAAGGGAGGAGGACCAGCTGCTGTCCTCTCTTCAGCAGGACTTTATCTCCAGCAACTCTCACCACCCAGGTTTTGCTGAAGGGAAGAAAAGGAAGCAGCATTTGCAATTATGTTCTCTGGGTTCTTGCTTGTTCTCTCTCTTGTTCACAGTTCTTTGCAGCTGGCAGGTAAGTGCCTCCTGCTTGCTTCCTGTGAAGGATCTCATGAAAGTGCTTCCAGTCCTCTGGCTTTTCTGGGTGATTGTGGTTCTGTGGTACTGCCAATATGTACATTATTAGTTTGGGGATGGGGAACCTCTTAGTGGCAGGCAAGAGGCAGGGGAGCCATCTCACAGGAAAAAAGAAATGTAGAAGGAACCAGAGACTCAATTCTTAATGGCTTTATTCATATATAGTGGCTCTATCATTCCAATAACCCCAGAAGATCAGACCTAAGAAAATAAGGATATATGTTTAAATGACTTTTAAAAAATTTATTTAATTCTTCTTTGTTCTGATTTTTGAGCTGTTGGTGTCTGGGTAATGGTTTGCAAAATCAGGCAGAGAAAATCTCCAGAAGTGAGGAAATGTGAAATATTGGTAGGACATTAAGATATTCACAGATAATGGCTGTAAAGGGGGTTTTATTCACTGTTTTGAACAGACTCGTTGAATTCACTGTCATTGATAAAGTGGATGGACGAATTTTTTTTTTTAAATAAAATTGGATAAAGCACTACTGCTATCCCTTCACCTGCACTTCTTTCGTAGATATTAAACAGGTGGCTTCTGCAGACCTGAATATTTAAGGTTAAATTCTTTCACCTTTCTAACTCCTGAGGATTGTCACAGATTGTCTCAGAGTATATGATATTTTTTTAATCACCATGGTCTCCCTGCAGGCCAGAATAATTCTTTTCCGTGTACTGTATATTATCATTTACATTGATTTCCATTTTTTTGCAAGCTTTTTAAGGAAGCGTCTTTAACCTCTTAAATACATTTTTATTAAATATGACACTCACTGCTCAAGACATATATCAGGGACCAAAACTGGTTATGAACCCCACAAGCTTTGGCAGGAAATACAACCAGCTGGGTCACAAAGTACAAGACAAGGCAGCAAAGCAAATTCATAGGCACAGTTTACAACAGCTGCTGATAAACTCATTGCAGGACTGATATTAGCTCCCCTACTTCTACCTCAGCTTAAGCCAGCACTTCAGGTATGATCAGATAAACTGCCTGGAGAGCTAGGGACACAATTTCTGGTGCAGGTGTACCCTCTCACTTCCACCAGCCTTTACACACTGGCAAGTGTCAGAGGCTACTACTCCCAGGTCCTTGCTACTTTCTCAGACTGCAATTGGCTTTCCAAAGTCGTTCCTTGTTTTATAGTCAATGGCTCATAGTAGGGGATGGCACATCCTGTAGTCAGCAAGGCTGAGGAGCCCAGAGTGACCCCTGAGAAACCCAGACTGGTTCACTCACATTGACATGACAAAAAGGAAAGGAAAGGTGGATTTGGGGGAGGGGAGGCAAATGACTCAGCAAAGATGGCTGTGTACCCCGTAGGGGACCTGTAAGATCTGGAAGGGTGAGAAAAGTTCATAGAGGTCAGATATCTACAAGGCCATGCATTTGAAGATAGGCTGGACAGAACAAGGTAATGGTATTAGCAGTGTGGTTGAGGGAATTAACTGATATAAAACCATCCAACAAGCTGTGCTCAGCTCAGCTGCTGCTGCTGCCCACCACTGATCCACAGCATGGTGGCATATTATCATGACATACATTTTATATTGTCTACTTTATTTTTAGTCAGTAGAATTGATGTTGCCGTTAAAAAATATGTTTTTATCTGACATGAATGCAATGACTTCTTGTTCATGTGAATGGGAAGCAGAATCACATAATGTATCCACTACACATATATTCTATATTAACTGTTTTCTATGTGTCGTTTTGTTTTACAGACATTAAAACATTTTTACTATATAATAAAGTCAACAGGCTCTGTCTTGAGGCATCTATTGCACAGTCAGTTAGAACTGCCACTTGCAATCAAGACAATGAGTCACAAAAATTCAGGTGGATCACAGATCATCAGCTTATGAGTGTGAAACTGAAACTATGCCTGGGGGTGCCATTGAAGAAGGATCAGGCCATGGTCACCCTGTATCCCTGTAATCAAAAAAGTGAACTCCAGTGGTGGGAATGCAGAAATGAAAGCCTCCTTGCAATCCGAGGAGAAGATTTATTTTTCAGTCCTGGCAATGAAGAGCACGATAATGTTTTGTTAAAGAAGGAGCTGAGTGCAAAGAATACATGGAATATCTATGGGGCCACGGATATTTTATGTTCCCAGGGATATGAAGGTACAGAAAATTGATTCTTTCATCCTTTGCATTAATTCCTTTGTGAGTGTTAGAGTGTTTAGGATCTTTGACTATTCTGACTCCTTCAGTGACCACCAGTTTTAGAAAATCAATGCACTGAAGTACTTAACCTTGAATTTAATGTCATATTTATGTCCAAGCATGTATTATACACACACACACACAATTTTAGTCTATGTATTATAGTACATTAGTATTTCAAGTACTATAAGTATTACATGTACTCTCTATATATTCTATAAATATGTATTATTAGTGATTATGTATACACATAATTACTCTCATACTATTCAAAACTATTCTAAAGTCACTATTGCTCACCACACTGTGTCACTACATTAGCACTGATAAGTTCCTTATACAGTCACAGGGATATGAAATTTACATCCCCATGAATGAAGCACAATATGGGTGAGCTGAGAAAGGTCTGAAAGTACTGATTTTTGCAGAGGAAGCATGGCTTCTTTGACTCAGCAGATGAGGACACTCATGGAACAATTACAGCTCCCTGAAAGGTGGTTGTAGTCATGTGGGGGCTGGTCTCTTTTACCAGGCAGCAACTGGCAGAACCAAAAGACAAAATCTCAAGCTGTGTCAAGGGAGATATAGGTTGGATATTAGGAAAAAGTTTCTCACTGAAAGAGTGATCAAGTATTGGAATGGTCTGCCCCTGGAGGTGGTAGAGTCACCATTCCTGGATGTGTTTAAAAAAAGACTGGATGTGGCACTCAGTGCAATGGTTTAGTTGAGGTGCTAGGGCATGGGTTGGACTCAATGATCTTGAAGGTCTCTTCCAACCTAGTGATTCTGTGGTTCTGTAAATTCTGTGAATTAAATTATAGTCACCAGTGCAATTACCTTTTTTGATTAGCTAAAGTCTGATTGTTCTGAATAGCTTTCCCACATCCAGAATGAACGCTCTAAAAGCCACCTCACAGGATATTTGAGCACTGAATTCTTAGCTTTGTATGTGGGGAGCTGCTTCACTGTATGAGTTACATACTGGAATAAAACCAGAGAGAGATAGTCTAATATATGTTTACTTTTTTTCCAGGAATCAAGACTTATAAATATTAGTTCTTGCTTTTGCATGTGTTATACAGATATTAACATTATTTGAAATAGAAGTATCTTAGGGTAGAGTCCTGGAACCTTATTAAGATTATAAATCATGCTGGTAAGAGATATAATTTTAGATTTCATCTATGATATATTACTTTACATCAGAATAGCACTGCTCTAAAACATATGTCAGCAGCCGAAGCCTGAAAAAGTGCTGAAACAATTTTGTTTATGATTATGGGACAGGAGCCGCGGAAAGCACTTTGAGACGCAGTTCTGCCACAGACCTTACTTTTTCCCTAGTTTACATCCATTTGTTACTTTTGATATTCATGTTATCATTTTGTCTTCTCAGAGACCTTCACGCTGCTAGGAAACGCTTTTGGGGCTCCGTGTGTCTTCCCATTCCAGTACAGGCAGCAGTGGTGGGCAGAGTGCACGGCCGCGGGCCGCGCCGACGGCTGGCTCTGGTGTGCCACCACGGCCAGCTACGACACGGACCAGCGCTATGGCTTCTGCCCCTCCGGAGGTGAGGCACCTGCTCCTCCCAGCTCCCCTCGGAGTGCACTGGCACACCAGCATATTGTCCTGGGGCAGAATATGGTGATCTTTATAATAACAGCTCATAACTCACAAGGATGTATTTTAGCGCTTGCTGCATCGCCACACGCGATGCAAGGAAATTACACGTTGCACGAAGATGTGAAGAGAGTGATTGAAGAGTAAAACAGGATTTGGTTCCCACTGACTGTGGGGGTGTTTGCTGAGCAGCACAATAATTCTGAGCTTCTTACTGCTTCCCAGCCAGGATGTGTGCTGTCACTGTTGTACAATCCTTCTCTGAGGACTCCCGTTGGGATGGATGTGGGTACAAAAATGAGCACTGTGGGAAGATTGATGTTGTAGTTAATGTTTCAATCTGCATGTGAATATATTTTTGTGCTAAAGTGGAATGTGTCCTTTTACTCATGCTTTTAAGCCCTGCCCATATTGTCCAGGAAGCAGCCTTTCCACCCCTTTGACATCTGCCTGGCATTTCTCTGTAATTTCAATCACTTTCTTCTATTTCTGTAGTCACTTCCCCCTCTATCTCCCTTTATGGCCTGAAAAGCCTTGCATTCATGATGTTGAAATCTCCACCTGACACATCTTTCCTCTATATTTCTACCCACATCTCCTGTTCAGCATTGTCTTTTTTTATTAGAATACCCCTTTACTCCACTTGATTTAAAGTGGACTTTCACTGTGGCACACATCTCTAGTCAACTATGCTTTCCAGCTTCCTGCAAAGATACTTCACACACTGAGCCTTGAAGGTACTGAATAATTGTCAGAGTTTTTGAAAGCTAGTCCCATCTTTCAGTTTTATTATAAGTTAATCTTCATACAGACTTTTAGGAATGATCAAATACCTGATACAATTTTATGTTGTGCTTGATTGAGCATGTAGGGATCTTCAACAAATCAAAGATGCAAAGGCAATTAGAGGAGGAGCATTGGTGCTGCTCAGCACCATTACTGTGTGACAGGCACATCCAGAGGCTCTTTGAAAGGGGAAGGGATTTTCTAAGAAATTTTTTGATGCTAAATTCAGGTCTAGAGCTAGTTCTTACAGCCCTCAGAGGGAGCTGCTCTCCAGAGAGAGAAGGAGATGTTGGACATCTTTTCAAAATTTTCACCTGGGACTTCTGCCACGCATTCTATGCAATTTATTTTCCTGTACAATCACTTTCCTTGGGGTGATTCCTGACTTGTCTCTCTTCATGGAACAGGAGGCAGTATAGGCCAGCTTTACCTGTCAGTTTACCAGCCTGAATTTTGTCCTTCCCCTTTTGCTCGTTACATTTTCAGTGGTTTTGAAAGAGCAGCCCAGGTGAAATTTAAGGAGATGAATGAGAACCTACAACTCAGTTTTCTCCGGGCAAGTAACTATGACCTCTGCTGCTATTATTCTTTCCACAGATAAAGACAGCACATGGACTACAGATCTGTCAAGAAATGTTCACTACCAAATAAATTCTGACTCGGCTCTCACGTGGCACCAAGCCAGGAAGAGCTGTCAGCAGCAAAATGCAGAATTACTGAGTATCACAGACATTCATGAACAATCATACCTTAACGGTAAGGCAGCAAAGCAAATTCTGGGTTACATTCAGGATCTGTTCAGGCCATCATAATAGCTAAGGATTATTTAGTATGATTTTGGCCATTGCCTTTGGACCTAAATACATGTGGGCAAGAAAACAAAATACTTTAGAATTTGCAATTTCATATCAAAATTGAGCCAAATTTACATAGAATTCAAAGTATTTCAGCATCCTGCAAGTGTAACAGTTTGAGTTCATATTTTATTTTATATTAAAACTAATTTTTTAAATTTTGATGGAGGAAAAGATCCTGAAAAGTAAATGAAAGTTTTACTTTTGGTCAAAAAGAAACTTCAAAAAAAATTGAAAAGAAAGAAAAAAAATTATCTTTACACCAAAAAAAGGACATGTTTGTGTTTAGTTTCAAATGCAGTTTTGACAGCTGTTTTTCTCATTCACTTAGCAAACTGGAAAATATCAGTTATTTATCGATATCAAATTGCAGCTTCATTTATCCACATATAGATGAAGGAATGATATGGAAGAAATATTTATTATTGCTTTTAAGGATTAATTTACTTCTAACAGATTTATTATTATTGTTTATATTTATACTCTATGAATAATTCTACTTAAATGTACAGAATTTAGCGTATTCTGCAGAAGCAATTTTGTTTTGGATATACTCTGTGGATATAATCTGTGTTTATTTTGCATTAGTTGGTAGAATAAAACAGGGTGTTTCTTTTTACAGTATTCAAACCTAGGGCATATTTCAATTTTTTAGGTACCATTGTATCTGCAGATATTTGCAGTTAGATATTTAAGAATTGCAAGTCTTCCTAGAGACGCTGATAGTGACAATTGCTAATGCAAAGGAGATTTATAAAATAATTTATCTTATTTTTATAACTTAGAATTAACAGCAGGTACAGATTCTGCACTGTGGATTGGACTCAACAGGCTGGACTTGAGTAGTGGATGGGAGTGGATTGGAGGCAGCCCTTTCCAGTACTTAAACTGGGCTCCAGGTAGATGTGACTTTGTTTGATTTTGTGTTTCCAAAGAGAAAATATACATACCTCAAACAGTGCTGTAAATTTTCTTATCAGCTAGCTATGCCATAAGTATTTTAGCTTTTCTTGCTTTAGCTTTAGAAAAATCTTTTTCTGTAGCAATATAAGACAGAAACGTTCAATGTATTGCTAAATACTTCAGCTGTGAAAGCATCACTGTCTGTCCCAAAAATATCCAATCTTCCATTTCTTGACTAGCAACTAAAGTATGAGTTTACAGGTTTGTATCCACTTGCCTAACTTACACACTGTATTCCATACAGACATTTCCACTACTGGAGAAATACCTGAGCTCTTGCCAAAGCTGGGAAAGACATGACCTCCATCACTTCATCCAGGAGTGGTCTACCACGTGCATCTTAGACCTCAGAGCTCTGTTTTTCTTAAAGAAAAGTTCACTTTTTTTCTCTGTACTTTTCCCAAAGGAAGCCCATCTCCAGAATCTGGAAAGCTCTGTGCGGTTTTGAATCCTGAAACAAAAGCTAAATGGCAAAATTGGGAATGTGATGAGAAACTTGGTTATATTTGTAAGAAAGGGAACTTTACTTTGTTTCCTTCAGGTATGTTGATATATATTGATAATTTAAGTAGTAATTTTTCATCTTGACGAAGATGAACAAAAGAATCTTATTAGAAAGAGAACTATTTCTTGTTTCTCTGGTTTGTTTCTTACAATGATTGCAATCTTTCTAGTCTGATCTCCAGTTCCACAACACACAGACTGAAACAGATAAAAGCAAAGAATGTCCAACTAGTCCCTCCTGTCTGTTTTAGTGGCCAAGTCTCCTTCTAAGTACACACACTGTTGACCATCAAAAGGGAGAACAACACAAAAGGGTTTTTTTTCAGAAGAGAGACATTAGTAAAAATAAGCCCCCAAAAAATGTATAACTTAGTGTGCTTCTAAGTAATTCTCCCTAACTTGTGGTCAACCAGCATACAAATGAGCAAGTTTACAGTTCACTGCAGAAGTGGTGGAAGATTGAGACTATGGAAGATTGACACATTGAAGTGAGAAAAGATATTTTAAGTGTGTGAAGATTTCCCTGTTGGTGTGACCCTATGTATTAATCTAGCTATAAATTTGTCTTGATGGCTTTTGCTCTATCAATATACTTAAACCTTTAAAAATTCAAATATCTTCTATGTTAGCTGCAGATCATGTCTGATTTTTCCTATCTGACAAATATTTACTAGGTGATACAGAAGCTGATAAAACGAATAAATTACAAAACGAATACATTTGTTTAATACATTAAAAAAATGAATAATTTGTTGCAGACATTTGATAAACTTAGAATTTGTATTAGACATTATTTCTGTTAAAAAGCTTTCCTTCTCCAAGCTAAAAATTGCCTGGTTTAGAGAATGATATTTATGCCTACTACATTTTGTATTCGTTGTTTCCTTATAATGAGAATTTCAAAAGAAAATTCTTAGTTTGGAACTTTTTACGCAGATGAAGTGGAAATATTTTCAGTGTCATGACCCGTGCATGGCAATTGAGCCCCTCTAAAGCCTTGGTACGTGTCCCTAGGTGACCCTGGGCCTGTGACTTGCCCAGATGGATGGGTGCCATATGCAGAGCACTGCTACAGGATCTTCAGGGACAGCAAAGGATGGGAAGGAGCTTTGACCTCTTGCCAGAAGGAAGGGAGTCACTTGGCCAGCATCCAAAGCCTAGAGGAGCACAGCTTTATGGTGTCTCAGCTTGGGTACAGTAAGTATTTCCAGGGGGTCTCTTGCCTTTGCCTGTATGGAAAACAAGACAGCTGAATTGATAGTTCCTGCTGAATACTGGATGTTGTCAAAGCTCTGATTTTATTTATTGCCAAAATAATTGATGTAGGTCAGAGGGGCTGGGCTTAGGGGCTTTTGCTGTTTTTTTTGCATTTTGTTGAAAGAAGCTAAAAACTTTTGCATTCTAAGTTACATAAAACCAGTATTTTAAAATTTGACCAGTGCAATGGAACAGATAAGTAACTATTATGAATTCTATCATACCATCGTGGTGTATCAACATTAGGCTGGTAATTCACACCCATTGTTATGAGGAAGAAGAGCAAAACTTTTTCATCCAGTGCAAGGATTTCCGTACATCTTAATTTTCCAAAGCATACAATCTTTATTTTAATATCTATCTGAAAATATTAATTTATAAAATTATCATAAAACATACTAAATAATTTTATGCTTCATGAATTTGTGAGAGGAATTCTATGTCCAAAGCTGAATGCTTGGTGCTGTGAAAAGGGTGGAGTGCCAAAAGAGGTCTTATCTCTGTTTCCATCTTCAGAGCCAACAGACAAGCTGTGGATTGGGCTGAATGACCGTAAGGTTCAAATGTATTTTGAGTGGAGTGATGGTACCCCAGTGACTTACACAAAGTGGCACCTGGGAGAGCCATCCACTACAAACAACAGGCCAGAAGACTGTGTCCTGATCAAGGGCCAGGTGACATTACTCAATACATATTGTACTTCCATATGAAAACTAACTCCTTAATTAAAGCATAATGTGCTTAGCAAATGGCTAATGCCAGAAAAAGAGATGTAGGGATTGAATTGAGTGACATTGAGAATGAGATTGAATGTGATCTCTAGGAAAAAAAAAAAGAAAGCATTACTGCATCACTGGTGAAATTTTCTCTTTGAGTACATCTGAAAGCCACAAATGAAATTATTAGAGCTATGAAACAGGTCTCTGAAGGTATTTAGAGTAGATTCTCTCCTTTTCCTCTGGTGGCAATGACAGTATATGGGGATCTCTGATTCCTGCTGGTTCCTCTTTTCCTGCTCATTTGCCATCCCATAGCACAACTCCCTGTGCAGGACCCAGCACAGCAGGTCAGGGAGCAGCACCATTCACCCTCCTCCCTTCTTATCACTGCCACCTGTGGCTATACTGCTGTAGCACAGTCTACTGTTTCACTGAATGTGAGCAGATTTGGTTTTAATATTGTGCAGGAAAATTGGATAAAGAAAAAAAATCCATTTAAAAATAAAAGGAGAAAGAAAACAAATAATTTTCAGTATAAAGAAAGACATTATTTATCTTCTTTGGATTATTCATCTTTATCTTCTTTTTATTTCAAACTTTCTCCTGACACAGAATGGCTATTGGGCAGACTATGTCTGTGAGAAAAAGGCTGGCTACATTTGTAAAAAAAAAGCTACATCACAAATAGCTGGAGAAAAAGAAATTACCGCTCCAGGTTGCAAAAAAGTAAGTATGTGAGAATGGAATATCAGTTTCTCAGATAAGTATACATTGTCTGAGAATCAATTAGAATTTTTAGAATTATTTGAATTATTTGTATTATTTACATAGAAGGGTTTTTTTGTTTTATTTATTATGAAGTTTCTCCCTCTCAATTACTCTAAACTTTAGAAAATCATCTACCATTTTAGAAATCTCTGAGGAGGAATCTGTAATTTCACTGCAAAATGTTTCTAGTTCATAATATTCATGATCATTGTGCTTCATTAATTTTTAAATGGCAGATTTCACTTAATACATGATATCACAATTATTTAAATTTGTATGAAAATCCTAAAACCATGTTACAGGGCTGGAGAAGATATGGGACCTACTGCTATTTTATTGGACATGTTCCAGCAACATTTTCAGAAGCAAAAACCACTTGTGAAGGAGAAGAAGGTTACTTAGCCACAGTTGAAAGTAGGTATGATAATGACTTTTTCTTCACTTTTAAATAGCTGAAGATTGTATTTTATGAAATATTCCTAGAAAACACCAAGCAGCAAAGTGGTTAAGTAACAGATGAGGTGTCTAGTTGAATAACAAAAAAGTCTTGCTTTTTTTGTTGTTTCTATGGAATCTGAATCCTATGGAGAGTCTTCTCCTCCAGTCTGAAGGGAGGAATAGGAGCAAAAATTCCATCATCATATTAGACTAGTAGGATTTGGGTAAACTACTTTGTTTTCACTTGGGTCTTTATGATGCCTTTGACAGGTATGAACAAGCCTATCTGACTAGTCTTGTTGGGCTGAGACCTGAGAAATATTTCTGGCTTGGACTCTCTGATGTGCAGGATCGAGGCACTTTCAGCTGGGCCAATGGTGAAGCTGTGTCCTTCACACACTGGGATGCAGGAATGCCTGGTAGGTGCTGAGAGGAGGGATGGTGGATGCTCTCTGAAACTGTAGTTCCTTTTAAGTTCCATGGGTAATGTCCTCTAAATTTCATGTTTTAAATTTTTGGTATATTTTACAAGTACTTGCAGTTTTCAAATCCCATATTCTAATTTCAAAGGGAAAATTTTAAACTGCAGTTTTATATTAGGACATCTGATATATTTACCCATTAGGTTAACTTTTATCCCATCTTCACAGGGAGATAAAAGGAGTTACAAACGAGTCCTGAGACTATTCCACACTTCTCCTCCGAGCATGAGAGACGAGTTTGAAACAGACCAACTGTAATATGGATTTTAGTTAGAATTCCAAACTCAAAGTATCAAAAAATCATTATGCCATTATTATTTTTATGTGTGATACTAAGAAAACTGCATTCATGGGTTCATACTGTGCATAAAGCACAGAAAACAAGATTTCATTATGCCGTGAGGAAATCTGCTCTCCATGGGATATTCTATGTTCGTCTTAGTGATCATTTGTCTGAAGATTTTCTTGAAAACCTTCAGTGAGGTTATTAAATAAAAAAAATTAAAAATTATGAAAGACATAGACTAATAAAATCTTAGCAAATGCCATAAGATGCCATGGAGTCTATGGTGTCAGAAGATGATCAGAATATGAAGAGAGCACTCAGAGGTCATGTTAAGGAGTCTTCCTTCTCTGACCATCCAAGTGCCACTCTGGAGTCACACTCACACCGCCTGAGCTGGGACCCAGGTTTCCTCAGATGTTTTGATCCCTAAAATAATTCAATCATGGTGCAATAAGAAAATAATAAAATAACAGCTTGAGCTGAGTGCCTCCAAGGAGGGTCCATGAACAAAGGAAACCCTGGGATTTTTTACCCTCACAGTCTAAATGCAGTAATGTCTGGGGTTCTTGGCCCCTGCCAAGTTATTTGGTGTCCATTCACCTGGCTGGACACTGGTGTCTGTGCCCTTTGCTATGGAAAGGGTGAGCACCAGTTCACAGCCCTTTGCCTTGGGTCCCAACACCCAGAGCTCCATCTCTATTGGCACTGCAGCTTGCAAACCAAACCACCTGCAGCAAATACATTCCTCAACAGTCAGCCCGGAACAGTAAAGAGAAATACATTTCCTTGCATCTGTGTACATTGAGAAGAAAATGGACTTTCTGTGCTGGAAAGTTTCTTCCTGAGGGTATGTTTGGAGAGTCGATTTCAGGCTGAAATATCAAGAAAATAGATTATGGAGGAAATTGATAGCATGAAGTCAGGAATAAGCATGGCTGCAAAAGTATCCAGGAACTCTTAAGATTACATAAAATAAATCCTTTTCTTTAATATGTAACTTCCTGGTAAAGCTGCCTTGATATCTAAGCTTTGCAAAAAGACAAATTTAGTGCTAACATTTAAAATGGTTACAGGGAGATATGGGGAAATACAGATGAATGAGTCATTAGTAAATTAGCTGAATCTTTAATAAAGGAGTTATAGTGGGAAAGATACATGAAACCACTTCTGGAAAGGGAGATCATGCTTACAGATCTCACAGAGCTCCACACAGAAGGTGAAAGCATATGAACGTGGGAAATCTAGTAAGTGTGGTCTATCTCAATTGCCCAAAAGCCTTTCAGCTAATCTAACCTAACACAGAAAAGTTCTTACAGGAATAAAAATACTGATAAAAAGGCACTGCCTGGAAGGTGGATTTTTGTTTTATGGAGGCTATTTTTTACTGGGGAAGTGTGTTCACCAACATAACCTGTGCCAAAGCCCATGCTGTTCAATATATTTGCAGACCATCTGGAAAATGTGCAATAGTGAGGTGACAAAATTTGCTGATGAGAGTAAATTATTTCTGATAGCAAAGTTTTCTGTGAGAAAACTCAGGAGAGTATCAGGAGAATAAGTGAGCATGATCAGTATAACAGTGGGTGAACTTTGATGCAGGTAAAGGATGCTCTTAGGAACAAACACATGCCTTGAATTGCCATAAAATGATAGATTTATAGCTAAATTTCATTTCAGCTCTGGCACCATGTAGATAGGTCCACTAAAACATCAGGTCTGTGCCCAACAGAAATTAAAAAAACCCAAACCAACCAAACAAAAAAACCCCAAATAAAATGTTAAAAATACTTACGAAATTAAGAAAGAGCACAAATGAACCATTAAAAAAGCCCATTTTGTGCATTTGACTGCATCTTGTGTGATTTAGGCAGCTCTGTTTCCCTCTGAGAGAGCAATCTAAAATTACAGCAAATATAATGGGATAAGTTTCATCCTGAAGCTGTCTAGGTTTGCACACCTGCCCTCTGTATGCACCAGTGGGGTTGTTGCCATCTATGTGAAAACCACTCGTGACTAAGTATCTCATGTAAAGCAAGCTTAACATAAATAGAAATGAGATTCTCATTTGAAAACATAAGATTTCACTATAAAGACTCTTACTCTACTTTCTACCCAAAGAATTAATTATGCAGGACATTCAAAATGTTAAAAAAAATAAAGTAGGATTCTATACTGATCATGACATCCTCGAACAGAAAATACTACTCTGCTTGTATGAAAACCACCTAAAATATAAATTTCTTTTTCAAATGTTATTGCATGTCAAAAAGTGAATGGCTGCTGCTCAAAGATTTTGACAAAGAACTAAATAATTCACACTTTAGAAAATATTCAACATGTTTGTTTTGGGTTTTTTTCTCATGAAGGAAATAATCCAGGATGTGTAGCCATGAGAACTGGGACTGCAGCTGGATTATGGGATGTTCTTGACTGTGAGACAAAGCAAAAATATATTTGTAAGCAGTGGGCAAAGGGTGCAACAGTTCCACCTGTTCCAACTTCTGCTCTGGTCCCTACATGCCCTGAAGGTTGGGTATCAAACAACCATGGAAATTCCTGTTTTAAAGTAAGTGCCTAAATAGTTAAAAGAAGTAGCTTGGTTGGGGAAAAAAAAATAAAAAAGAAAACAAACAACAAACAAACAAAAACAAACAAACAAACGAAAGAAAACAAGAAAAAAGGAAAAAGGAACTGGCATTTTCATTTTGTAATATCTGAGATTGGGATTGAGCAAAAAAAAAAGCAAACCAAAACTCTTCTCAGGAAATTATCTATGAGAGGGGAGAAACTAAGGAAGAAAGATGAGGTTGAAGGGAGGGAAGGGAAGGGAGGGGAGAAGGGCACAGGAAAGAAAATGAGGAAGTTTGTGCTTCAGGAGTTGAAGGAACCTGAGCAGGAAACGGAAGCGGAACATAAATATCAAGGCCCAAGAAAGACGAAAAAAGGAAAGGAAAGGAAAGGAAAGGAAAGGAAAGGAAAGGAAAGGAAAGGAAAGGAAAGGAAAGGAAAGGAAAGGAAAGGAAAGGAAAGGA